ACAATAGCTTTCCGATGGTTCCACTTTTGTAATGACCAAATTACGAGAAAATGGGGGAAATAGAGAGTAAAGGTGATTTCTCGAATGCCAAGTTTCACTGAAGAAATGCTGCGTTCTGATTGGCCGACTTTCTTGCAGTCCCAATCCACTTTAGCTCCCCAAACTCACGTTTTACAGAAATGACACTTATCGGTCTTTTTCTCCGCCATTTCTCGATCGATTTCTAAAAGCATAATGTCATAGTGAAGCTTACATTGTCAGTTTCCCGATGGTATCACCTTTGAAGCCACCCACGTAGGATAAGTAGGTGAAATTTGAACGTGAAAAAGTTTCTCGATAATCGAAGATTCACTTTAAAAATACTGAGGAATCTGGCATTCTGATTGGTCAGTTTTCCTGCATTCTCAAGCCACTTTTCCGACTCCAAATGGAGTTGTTAAAAATGGCACTTATTACATACATCTCTCGATTTTGTTTCACATAATGACTAAAATCTGAAACTGATATACCTGAAACGTCAGTGTAAAGGATGAATCAAATCCAAAATTATTCAAGAAGACGAGGTTTTATATAAAAACGATGAAATAAAACTAAAAACCTGTCTGGTTTTATGTAATTCTCACCTCTAGAATGTCTGAAGAGTACCTAAACCCCAAAGTATTTTGCTCAAAATAAGTGAAACTAAAAATATTATTATTAACTTTGAACCCACGGGAGTAATTGTATAGTTTCTAAATAGCTGAATAACGCTGACATAATAAATGTCACTTTTGTTTGTCTTTGACTTTACTTGGGCCAGACCTCCATTCACTTCAGTGCTAGAAACGTGCAATAGTCAATTAATTTCATGATTTATCAAAACGTGTTGGTTGAATCTGTCTGAAACTCGAATGACATACTATTGGATGGCCCTGTCAATATTGTCAATACAAGATGGTTGTCATACAAATTAGCCAAGGTTTGAATGAATTTTAGTACTGCACCAATGGAGATTTGGCCCAAGTTTTTTCAAATGTCATAGAAAATGATTTAAATGACATAACTGTGTAAATCAAAGCTATTATTGGAGAAAACGTGTCACTAAATTCAAATATGCTATCAAAATTAGAGATAAAAAGTGCAAATCTCTTAAAATCGCGACATGAAAAAACGAGAGTTAGCAAGATTTCAAAGCTATCTAGAAACTCTAGATCTTCTATAGCACGCAGTAGAATTTAAATGCACGCAAGTAAATTGTTATTTTATATATGTTCTTCTGATGCCATCTCTTTATTTAACATTGCCGAAATTATGTACAAGAGAGGTACTCTATATTGTTGCAATTCACAATTTCAGGTAAAATGGGCGGTAATCGGCCCTTGTGGCCTGGAGTATAAATAAACGATATCTAGGACAAAATATTTCATATTATTAAATTTAAACCCCTTATTTAGGCAGATATTAAAAGGTGGATTGGATCGAGTGGATTGGATTCATGTAAAAGGTGGATTGGATCGGGAATCTTCAAAATATGGATTTTTTAGTTGTACTCCCTCTTAGCAATTTCCTCCGGGCTAAAGTATTTTATGATTACTTGGGTCCCTTTAAGAATCGACAAAGCAATGACAAATACATATTTAAATTAGTTGATAGATACTCTAAAGTATTTAACTACTCTCCCCTGTAAATACACATTAGTAAGACATAATAAACATAGATCTATAGAGAAAAACTGTCATTCAAATTGACGTGTGGGTGTTCCCAAGACATGTTCTGTTTGAATTGAAAACAGATGATATGGACTTCGACTTCAAAAGCATGCCTTATGATTTGTGAAATGTCTAAATTTACTCTTGGAATAATTAAGATTGTGTATCTGAGGTCACCTTTCTAGCCTACCCAAGCAAAATGATATAACATCTATTATTTGACATTGTGGAAGTGAGGAGAGCATTAATCATCTGATGGGAGATCAATATACATTTTTAAGGAAAATCCATAATTTGAAGAATCCTGATCCAATCCACCTTTTACATGAATCCAATCCACTCGATCCAATCCACCTTTTAATCTCTACCCTTATTTATGTAAAATACTTTAACATTGTATTTACTGCAATATGATACTGCAATTGAGCCCATCGTCTCCACTGGTAGGGTAAAACAGGTTAATTGTATTAAATAAACACAAAACTAAATAGTGGATTCTTTATATTTATAATCATTCAAACACTGTTTATTACTCGTACATTTAATCATCTTAGCGTTTGCATATTCTGTGACAATATTGTCTGTAAATCCAGATCCCCTAAACGTATATACGTATTGCTTGCTATACTCATGAAGGAACAAATAATTTACCCAACGAAATATACATATTGTATCGCCTTTTATAATGTTCAGGACGACGTTAAAATCAGATAAACTAAGGAAATGGTACGTTAACTCATTTAATGTTTGATTTGTTTAATACATGTAATAAGGCATAATGTAGGCCTACTTACACATGTAGCTACCACAGCGTCCATCGTACAAACACGAAAACGGACGCTCTTTATCAATGATCAGTTCGCATTTCTACATCCAAAAGTATTTTATTTTTATTTTCAGTTGATGCATAATGTGTAATGTCATTTCTATATATTCACATGGATTATATTTATAAATACATGTTTTACATTGTTACAGTTAATTTCATGTTTCAAAAACGTTATTACGCTACACTTTCAAGACAACAGTAAGCGTTCTAAAATGCTGAAAATCATATGCGTTCAAAGTATAATAAGAAATGCACTCATTTACAAATAAGTGACTTTGGTATACTTGCGACGAATTACTTACAAATCAACGTTTATAGGGACAACATTTTGGGCCGATATTAACGAAATCCTTGAATGCCAAGCTTGTTAATAAGCATTAATTTTTGGATATTGTAAGATGCCCAGCGTTCGTAAAATATAACTACATTGTATACTGTATATGAGGAATAGATCAGGTCGAATTATTTTTAATGAACAAAACAAACATTACGTTTCATTCATATCCATGCATATTTTATTACCAATACACGAATTTCAAGTATTTACTTCATTTGTACACTAAATTGCGTTAACAGATACAATCTAACAAACATCAGCGTTGCAAAAATACGAAAATTACGTGCGTTCATAGCATAAAATAAGTTACCTCAGATAGTTTGCAACACAATTTGTTTAATTACTTGACCAGTAACGTATTATTCACCATTTATGGGGACATCATTGAATCTACTATATTCGGGCCGATATTCCATTAAACCTTGCCAACTTGGTTAAACGCATTTACTATACGATGTTGTAAAATACCCAGCGTCTGTTAAATTAACTTAAATCAAACTGAGACCGGGTCGATTTATTAAGAGCGATCTGAACAAACATAAATAAATAAGAATAGATTATTCATTCCTAGTTGATGACATGTTTCCCTGTGTATATAAACGCGTTATTTTGGGCCGATTTTGGGCCGATCTTGGCACTTTAGCGACATACATTTTCCCATCGGCCGAATCGGCCCAATGGCACTCAAAGGGTTAATTTGGCGAATTTGGCAAAATTGAAAAATTCGCCAATATAAATCTCCGCCAAAATTTAGAAAGAATCCCCGGGAATCATCTAGGGTATTTCGTCCAGTGTATTTAGGTCACTTCCGGTTTATTTTTTCCAAAAATATGAAAAAATGTCTCTCATAAATTGGCTCAGAACTGGTCAGTCACTCATTTATACTCAGGGAAAAGTAGCAGCATCAATTGAGGTGTAAAATGTAAAGGATGATCTAACAAAAATGTACAAACGTGGTGAATATCGGCCAGTGGTCCTCAAAAGAAAAAATGAACATAGCCAAACATGCCCATTTACATGGTAATTCGCAAACAGCGCGTAAGTTTAACATTCCATTAACATTTTTTTGCATATCCGCCAAATTAAATAGCCGCCAATATGCCAAAAATGGCAAAATCGCCAAATTAAGTAGCGCCAAATTAACCCAATCTACAGTATTTGGATTATGTTTAAGTTATTCATTATTTACATTCGTCCTTCTTAATATACTTATTAATGTATTATTTCAAGGGATTCATTTTAATAAAGAGGAAAAGCAGTTGGGGATAAATAAGATTTCCATAAGTACTTATATATACTGTGTTAACCATTACTTGAGTACTGATTTCTTGATTTAAAAGGCCAACATTGGCTGGAACTGTCTTTGGTTCTCCCTAGGTTAAGATACCATTTCTTTAACTTGAAAATATGGGGAGAACTTCAAGGGTGACATTCAGTTGTGATTTCAAGGTTTTTATCACATTTATAAGTGATAAACAATGCTTACATTGCCCTGAAAGACAAAGAAGGGAGAGCCCTGAAAGGTAATATGGCAATGGGGATAGCCCTGAAAGGTAATATGGGGAGAGCCCTGAAAGGCAATATGGAGAAAAACCTAAAAGACAATGAGAGAGCCATGAAAAGCAATATGGGGAGAACCCTAAAAGTAAAAGTGGAGAGAGTCCTAAAAGACAATGTCTGACAAGGGCTCATGATGGATTTCAACCTGGAGATTTCAACTAAGTACAAGGCAATTTCCATATTCCAGGAAGCCCATTGTTGTTTCTTAACTGTGCTGATCCTATCCATGTTTATATAAGATTGAATCATGCTTACATGTTTATTGGTTTGTTATATAGAAGCCATGTGATATGACATACACTGGCAATTACAGCAGCCCCTCAGCTGGTGATCTTGGAAAATTAGATCAGTGACCATTCCAAGAGCCCCAAGAGATATAAGAACTCATCACATTACATCTTTCTGTTCCACAAGCAATTTCTGATGACTTTATTATGATGGACTTGTATCAACATCATGTGTTATCTAACCCCCTCCCCCTACCCACTAATCTAACAGAAATAGGAATGGGGTACCTAAACTTCATATAAGACTAAAACTAAACTATTAAAGTAAAGATATACTAAGAGAAATAAAATATACGTACACATAAGTGGTTTGTTGTCCCCCATGCTGATGCCCCATGCTGGCAAGCTTTTCCTGAAGAATTTGGTCACTCATACTTAACAATCAGTGATTAAGTCCTACTTCAGAAATGTAAGTCTTTATCAATACAGGTACTGTTTTAAAGTAATAAATAATACTGTGCTAAGAGATATTCTTCAGCTCATCTGCTACACTAATCAGTAATTGAAGTCCTGAACCATTCCAGATAGAAGTCCTTCCAATACATGCTATAATACAGAGCCTTCCATTTTGTTACTTTATGGTTCAAATCCTGTATAGTCCAACAGTTGGATACATGATATAAAATCTTGGAGGTTTTAATGGGCACTGAATTCCTTAAAGGATGCCCTTAAATGCCCTTAAGTCTTGTTTAGATTTTCTGAATGCTTATATCTCCTCCTGCATATCATTAAAACCTTCCTTATATAGCAGCTCCTATGTCATATAGCAGTTCAATATAATTTAGAGCACACAACGTAGATTCAGGTTTTCTATTAGTTTTTGTTGAGCCAATGGAGCAATGAATACATACAAGACTATCTCCGATCAATATTACTTCACTTCCAAGACATCGAACGAAGGAAGAATCAGAACTGGCTGAATAACCAATGAAAATGTTTCATATATACTCATGGACTTCTACTCACTACTGCTGTATGATTCAATAGCATAAAATCACCAAATATTCCTTTGTACGTTTCTTTATTAATCCAGTGTTCTGGTCTCTTTGTTTTATCAAATAACCCGAGATAGCAATTCCAGACCCAAATATTTACTTGCACTGATCATCCGTAGTACTTCAACCTACTTCAGAATCGGCCAATACTTCCTTATGTTAATTTGATCCAGTCTTATATATTACGATAATATTTAAGATCTGTATATTTGAACCTTCTCCATGCTTATATGCAGGTATTGTTAATTCACTGATGAATTTTCATCTCTGTGTATAAGAGCCATGTGTTCCAAGTTATTAATGCAACTTCTTTGTGTACTAAATTCTCTGCATCTGGACTTCATTACTTTGTTTCCCACAAAGGGGTGACAGGTGTTGAATGCCAAAAATAAATTACATTCTCTTCCACTTGCAAACAAAGATTTAAATCTATCATATTCTCTATTTGTACTTTTTATACACACAATATAATTTTTTGAGTGTAACTGACATCTGCATCTTTTTATTAATGTTTTTTTACAACTGCTTAAATTCACTGTAACCTAGCACCTATTTTGGATGAGTCCATTCTTGGATACTGGGAAATATTATCAGCTGTAAGGCTATCTAATTAACAGCTTAACTTTAGGAATATAACGAGTGTTATAATCATGTGTCTCTAGACATTTGATTATGAATAGAAGCTACTTATGCAGGGTTTAATGATAGAATGTGAATGTTGGATAATTGGCAAGGTCTAATTTGAGGCAAACAGTTTGGCAGGGATATCATAATATAATCACAATCTATTGTCTTTTGTAATAAATTATACAACTGAACATATAATTCATCCATTTCCAAATGTACCTGTTTTTGTTTCATGAGAAAATCAGTGCCTCGAATATTTGCATGAGCTAAAAAATCCATTAACATTTTCAACCTTGAGGAAGCATGTGAGTAATTATATATCTCAAGTGATATGTGCTTAGTAATCAATATTGTTTGAAGATAGCAAGCTCATAGACAGGGGGATATTTCTTTCAAATTCACGCAGTTTTTCACCATTCTGAGCACTTTTCAAGTAATTTTGGCCATTTTTGTATGACAAGATTTCAATGTTTTTTCTACAAATATTGATATTTGACCATCTTTACCTCAAATACACATACTCCTGGTAAACTGCATAAAAGGGATTAGGTCGAAATTCCTATTTTGTCCCAAAATACAATAATACTTTAGATTGACAATATCCCTCCATATCCCTAATTATTGATTGTCACATTTAAAATGCTTCCCTTTGAAAATCTATATGTACATAGACAAACTGATATGTCTATACCCCTCTGAATGATTTAGTTCATTGTTTGTAGACTTATATTATGTTACCTGAATGTCAGAAAAATACATTCAGGTAGACGAAGCTCTCTTTTGGGAAACATAATCAAGCAAATTATTGGAAAGGGTGGACACTGTGATTTTAACTTTGTCCATGCATTAAAATCAAATATTTTAATATCAATTTTGGGCAGCTGTTTTTCAAGATATTATCTTTTATATAAAAACTTAACCATCTTTATATAATTCATAATTACATGCCATTAACAGAGATAGCAGTCTTAACAAAGAAAGGGATAAAAGTAATTGCATAATTGACCACAATCCAGACAGCTGGTGAAAATATTGCAATCTTTTATAAAAATCTGTTTCTAATTATGTACAAATGAAAAGAAAATCAATGCAATTAACCAATTACTTCAGTGATGTAAAAATCATTTGGATGAGTAATTTTAATACTTTTAAAAATTGTTTCTTTGTTTGAAAAGTGAAATATTCTCATTTTCATGACAAATGACATCCTTTCCAAAAACTGATACTGAATTACAAAAAGGTATTCTACTTTATTTAGGCCTTCATGAAAATACATATAAAATGTGACACTAATTTTGGTGACAGTTAATTTGTCAACACAATAAATCAAATGTACCAGCTTGTATTAAACAGGTAAAACATGAAAAAATGATATGAACACATCCTTTTTATGACAACATGCATGTTTTGAGACTATAACAATGATTTAGATATATCACTTGCATTTACTCTTACCATATTTGCTTATTAAAATTACTTGATGAAACTTAAGATCCTAAAAGCAGTGCTATAATGTATAACTAAATTTTAATACATCAACTCGGCTCGTTTAAAAAAGACTGTACTTTGTCAAATAACTTGCGGTGGCGGTAGGCATATATTTTTGTGAGTCATCATGACTCAGGTAGTATCAAAAAAGTGAGTCACAAGAAAAAAAGTTGAGTCAAAGCTATAAAAGTGTTTTTCTTGAGTAAAAATGCATACAAAATGTAGAAACCACATACAAAATCTATTTTTTGATTTTGTGCATACCTTTTATTGTACTCTTATAGCACATTAACAACTAACAATTAATTAATTAGGCAATTGCAAGAAAAATGTCACTATTAATCATCTGATTATCTGGTCCAGCGAGTCATGGGTGTGAATGGAGTGGGAGAGGAGTTTCTCCATGTGTGGAGTTACACAAATTGGGGTCAAAGCGTTTCATGTTGAAATTCAACATTTTTGCAATCATTCCAAAGTCTAAAACGGCAATATAAGTCCGACCACAATACTGGGCATCATTTAAATTGAATATGGTAGAATCTTGTAATTATAGCTGATCAAATGAAACCGAAAGTAGATTTGTTTTCATACCTAATTTATCATCATTACCCCCCTTAATGTGCGATCGACTGGATTTTCATGTGCCCATTATCTATCTTCATAGGATCAGCTTCAGATCTAGTGAATCGAAGATCTTAACTTGAGGGAGTTAATTGAAAATACTTGGTGAAAACTTACGATAGATCGGTCACTGTGAGCACCATTGATAAACCTACTGCGCATTACATCTGCGCATGCTGATGAAGGGGACGGCTCAAGGAAACTTGCTAGCTTAGCGAAGGAATTTTGCGAACTTGCGAAGGAAACTAAAGGTTCGTAAATCTAGCGTGTGAACATTCAAGGGAAGATTTTATGCGGTAATTTAGATGAATATACAATCACTAAAATCCTTAGAAGGGAGTATGAAATTAATAAATTATTGTTCAATGTTATGTTCGTTTTATTGCATTTTTGATACGCCCCCTAGCAACGTGCTTCACGAGATAAACAAATCAGGGATCGATCAATGTTTTCAAGTTTATCATTGAATCTGAATCACAGGGCTTTAAAAATTATATGAAATACCGAAATGAGAAAATGATCGGTAGGAAGGAGGCTCGATTGCGCTGAACGAAATGTTAGATTTCCGGAATTAGCAAAATTATAAATTTGATCAATCACGTATTTTCACGTATAGGGATCAATTTAACCAAGTACCAAGCGGGGATTTTGCATGTGAAACAAACGTGCGTCAGAAAGACTCGGTAGACAATGAATATTTGCGTCAGAGTTGCAAAAATGTGAGTAAAAAACGTAAAAAATTGCGTTAACGCCACCTCTGAAGGTTATTCATTTTCTAACATTGACAACAACTGAACTTGTGTCAGGTCAAATACTTTTTTCTGTAATCCTTCCGCCCCTCTTTAATGTTAATAAAGAAAAAATGAATTGTATTGGAAGTTGGAAATTGGAATTTACTTCTCATTGGTATTGTAAATTATTTAAATTTTTTTTATATTGTCTGCTGTATACAATGCAATGAAAATGCATGTCATTCAAGTTGGTACAGGTGTCCTCTGGTCAAACACTTTTTGAAGCCTCAAAGGCAGTAATAAAATTAGAAACAAAGACATGAAAAAGTAAGACAAAGGCGTTTAAATCAGAAATACTCATAAATGCCAGTTAAAAGACACTCATACCATCACACCGAGGCTTCACCACAATGTCTTTCTTTGGAAATACTGGTAGGAAATACTATAGACGAGTCAAGATGCAAAATATTTGACTTCCTAGTCTTGCATTCAGGAGTTGTAGAGAAGAGCAATTTTCATCCTCCTAAGCAAGTATCCGGTAAAAAGAAAGAATATATTCTGGATTTTAAGCCCTGTGATCGGAGGATGATCAATTTTGAACCCACACACCTGTTACATCCATTTAGTCATGTGTACAAAGTCATATCATAAAAATACATTGAACAGTCTTGCTTGAACCCCAGACCCATATCTGGAGAGGATCCCTCTTGAAAAAGAAACTGGCTACAGACCTGAAGCCATCACCTATTTACCTATGGTAAATACTATAAGCTATAATAAATATCGTAACATAGTAAAATAACTCAAGATGGACATTTTTTGCTTTATTTCTTAATTCGATATAGATTTTCATATTTAAAACCTTGAAACTTCTGCCAATCAAAACACTTTTATCCCAGTTATATTCAGATTAGATATGTCTCACTTTATTTTAATTCATAAATGATGTTAATAATAAGGCCAATCAATATAAACATTGTCAGACATTGTCACATTGATAATATCAGATAATGAAATAAAACTATCGATTATTCCATATTCACTATATATGTAAAAATATCACAGGATACAATTAGCAATAAAACCTTTGACAAAATGTTGCAGTGTTTATATAAAATGCACCATCTGTCCTCAACATGATGTGTGAATGCAACTTAGTCATATGAATTGCATATATGGGCTCTTTGTTTAATGAGCCCTTTAAATCATCACAAAGGATGTTTCATTGATGAAAAAGATTATTTATTTATTCTCCCCAGCTGCTTTTAAAAAATGTCTGAGTTTATTGCGTTGTTTGAACAGCCAATCACATGTTCATGGACAATCTAATGTTATATACTTTTCATTGGGGTTAATGGCATGATGATTGATGGAACAAAGATGACAAGAACACAAATGTGTACAAAATGTCCCCACCAAGTGGCGATCCCGTGAAATGGTTATCCTGAAAATGAGTAGACAAGACTTTACCAACACAATTTGAGGACGGAAAATCCAAAGTGGCCACCTTTAAATTTACCCAGAATGCCAAAAATTTAGTCAGTTCTAGATTTTAATACTAAGAACCACCCCTGAAAATTTGAAATTGATCCATCACACAGTTAACCAGAAAACATGTAAAGAAGACTTTACAGACAAGATTTCAGGATGGAAAATCCAAAATGGCTGCCTTGACATTTACCAAGAATGTCAAAAAACTAATCTGTTTGTAGATTTTCATACTAAGAATCATCCCTGAAAATATGAAATTGATCTACCAAATGGTTCACCTGAAAACGGGTAGACAAGACTTTACAGACAAGATTTTAGGACAGAAAATCCAAAATGGCTGCCTTAACATTTACG